TCGCGTAAAAGCGATATTGAGTTAATTTTTTCTTCCCTGAGGTATACTTTAAAAATGTTTAATATTTATGGGCTTACGTTTTGTAAATTCAAAATTAATGAAGCCTGTTCTACAGATGTTGGGATAATTAAACAATTAAGTGTTTCGTTAATTGAAAGTATTTGTTTCGAACCAGGTGTCCTCGCCGCTTTTTCTCTGACTTCAATACTGGTTCATTTGTGACTACAACCTTGGGAATCGCTTTCCAGTATATCAAATTTTACTACTTTCATTTATCACATCAACCTTATGATTTTGGAACTGTGAACGGAAATTTAAGCGTACATCTATTTCTTATTATTTCTAATGACTGATTTGTGATCATATAAAATAGTAAATTTTCTGGTGATAAGATTCATGTTAATTTGTCTGACAGATTTATTATTGGAATCACTAATCACAGTCTGGTACGACAATTTACAAAACTCCAAAAATGTTCATTCCATAAGATGAGAGGTTCTAACAATTGTGAGGCAGTGAATGGACATTATTTGGCGTCCGAGAGAAAATTTAAAAAAGTCCTCAAACACTGTGATCAATTACGTTTCTTAGGTTTCAGATTCGTAGTTAGTAGTTAAGAATGGACTGGCAGGGAAAACTAGATTTTAAAGTGTACACATAGCAATATATTGTATTGAAATGCATCAATAAAGTGCGTAAATATGTACGAAACAATTACAATTATATACAAACATTATGGTTTCATAGCCACTATTTTTAGCATGAAAGGAATAAACATATTAAAAATTACATTTATGTACTTGGAATTTGAACGGGAAAATAATTATAGTGGTGATGTAAAACCTTATTGTTCATACATCATTTAAGTTTTTGAAATTTGTTGAGTGATTTCGCCAAGTATACAGTGTAACAACATCAGAATCGATTCCTTTATATTTACATTACTGGGATGACAATATTTAATGTTCAAAAATTGCATAGTAGCTTCGTAAAAGTGGTTGTTTCCCAGATTATGAGGATGGTGATCGTGACTATATTTATCAACCTAAAACATAACAATTCGAGATTGCTTTACAAAGTTTTTCATCCAGATACACTTGATCCACAATATAAAACCAGGATTCAAATGTGAAAATTTACAAGACAGAGTATTTTGAACAATCAGGAAATTTGGACATAATAGTCGGGTACACAAGGAAGTTTATTAATCAAAACAATCAGAAAATCATTCAACAGACAAACACACAAGACGTATTTTCTTCAAGGGATTGTACGAATATATGAACTAAAAGCTTCTATAGGTTTCATAAGAGACAAGTTTCAAACTGAACTATGAATCAACTATCACTTTTACTTTAGTTATTGAGCGTTATACTAAACTGAATAATGGAGTGATATAATTTCTACTTGGTTTTACTCTAATAATATGCAATTTGGTTTTATGTTCGATATGCACATATATAAGATATTGAATTTTGATGTTGATTACAATAATACGGATTGTGTGATAATCTTTAGAAATATATAGGCTAAGCGCTATATTATTCGTTCTAAATTTGTAACAATGAATGGGTATCACATGTGCTTTAAAGCTGGAATTAACTGAAAACAGGTTGTTTAAAAAGATAATTTTTTTTCTCTCGATTGGTTGAATGAAACGAAGAAGCTTTTGATCAATACGACTTAACGTGAAGAAACGTTCGAGATTATTATATTTTATAATTGGTTGTATGTAATATGCGTAAAATAAAAACCTTAATATTTGGTCTAATTTTATATTTGTAAAGGATTTTAATGAAAAACAGTTAAAATTCGTTATGTATCTTTGAAAATATTATTATTATTATCTTTACCATTGTTATTATCATCTTGAGGAATTTATTCAGTATCCACCCCTATCTACTATATCTGACCTAATTCATATTATTCTACATATTACGTAATTTCTGATTTTTATTCCATTATTTTCTCTCTCACCCCATGTTGACCATATTTATTCTGATCATTATTTATCTTACAATTTCATTTTACTTATAAACTGATTCAAGTTAACACTTTATATTAGTCAGCCCCAACAACAATTCTTGATTCACATATTAAAATTTCCAAATGATGTACTCTGCCTTGAATCTGGCCAATTTTATGGATGATTAATTTGGATATGTGATAATTGTAGAACTTGAAGAGAAATTATTGAAAAGAATATTCTTCGTTCATACAATTGTGAAAATATTTCCATTAACAAATATAAAACTGTATATTCTTTCCAAAGTTGTCGCTGATCACATTGTTTAAAGTAGTATTTTAATTTTTTACAAATAATCTATCCAGTCCAATGAACATGAAATTCTCAACAACAAAAAATAACGAGAGAGTAAATTATTGTAACCAATTTTTTTAATAGAATATCAAAAGTTAATGAATATTCATCAAGTAACATTGAACAATGAGCATATGAAAACGATATTATCGATACGTGAGTTCAAGTTTATTTAAAGTTAAATTTTAAATAAACAAAATAATGTATCAACATTTTTTCTCTTAGTTTTGAATGACCTGATTGTTTTTTTTTCAATTCGAATAGAATAAGAATTTCACAAATTATAGAAAAATAATGATGAATAGCGTGGGTAAACTATTTTTTATTTTCAAATAGTAACGTAATATGTAGTTGTTCTTATTTTTAGAAGATAAGGAGTCATTGAAATCTAAAAGTTTATTATTATTATTATTATTATTATTATTATTATTATTATTATTTGAACACATAGATATTGGTACAAGGAGGTACTAAATACATATGCGCCACACAAAACTCATTTGATCTGTGTGAGGGCTGTGATACTGCTCGGGTGCCCAAACCGAAGCAGGTGGTTTTTTTAGGGGGCCACACCCCGAGCCTTCGACCTAAAGGTCTGATCCACGAGGCAGTGGAGCATCGTAAGGAGATGCAGTCCCATTGTAGCCAGTGACCGACGATTGGTTCATACGCCACTTGTTCCCTCAGGATACTGGAGCCTATGTGTACCATTGGTTTGGAATAAGGGTTTTCCAGCTCCCCTAAGTGGAATCTCCATGTCCACCAACCCGGTTAAAGCGCCAGACATTCGCTCTTCGTCCTCTCAATTTCGTAAACAACACACCCGCCACGAGAAGGCAGTGAGTAGGACTACCCTGGCAGAGGCTATATACGCGTGGCCATGTGAGAGCATTTCGAGAGGGTGAGCGGACTCTCCCTACTCTCTGCCGTACCAGGGCATTTGGGGGCAATCTAAAAGTTAGTAGATAGTTAATGTATAGTGTTATGAAATGATGTTTAAATTATTGTTAACTAGTAAATTATAGAAAAAAACAGCCGTAAGCAAATTTTTTTTAGATTACTTGTTTTCATTCATCTTTACAATTTCGTATAATTTTTCGAGAATCTGATAAGAATCAATAGTTGTACTATCAGTTCAGCAAATCAGTTTAGGTCCTCATTTCAAATCTGTTTTCATGCTACATTGTACTGTAATTGTCTACTTTTACATGTTTAGACATCACCGATAAATAAATTATATAAATAATGATTGACTAAGATCTGACATTAAAAGTAAATGAGATCTCTGTACAGCTTAGAAAGTATAGCACTTTGTTGTAGGAACTACAAGTGATCTCTGACTCTTTGAATCAATCTATATAATCCATTCATCCATCAGTATTCCTTAAGCCTCATTTCAAGATATCAGTAGCAAGCGAAGTGGCTATTATAAAAGAATAGGCAGGGGAGATGATCGAAAAGAGTATTTACAACAAGCCCAACGAATAGCTGTATTTAAATCATTGGCGTGATAGTTCAACAAATTAAAGAAGGAAGTATACAAAATATTGTCGATCACTCATTATCCGCACAAACAAATTAAAATGTACATTTGTTAAGAATTCAAAAATGGGTTCAGTAGCACACATAACAAAGCTAGTACAACTTTATGTTAAAATTTTAACAGAGAAAAATATCTCACTGATTACTAATGCATCATCGTAATATCATATACTATGTATTCCTGTTACCTCATAATTCAAATATAAGCCAGAGTAACCAAACAAATTGAATTAAATCATGGTGTTCATAATGACTTTATTACTACCAATTTTGTTCCCAAAAGTAAATGAATGTTAAACGTAAAATGAAATAAAATAAAATACTAAATTACTTCTTACGCTAATGATAAAATGATCATAATTGTCTGCTGATGGGTGATATTAATATTCATTTATTTTTCTGGTTAAATTATCGAAATACTTGTTAATTGGAGATGTTCCAATACTTTAGCATATTGTATTTATTCAAATGCATTAAACCATACAAGTTAGATAAATCCACTTTTATGCCTATTTCTTAACCAAAGTTAATCTGTAATATTCGCGAATTTCTTGAACTACAGAATCTCTAGTATTTTAGTGCATTCAAAAAGTATACGTAAATGAACTATCGATTAGAAATATTATGTTTGATAAAAGAAAAACAATCATATAAGATAACACTCAGTTCACTATTTTATAATATGCTATCAGCTTTTCAAATGATCGATCTAAATAATAATATTCATGTTTAGTTTTAATTTTTTTCATGATAATATTTAATGTTAAACACTGGTGAGGGTAGCACATAACTAGAAACTGAACAATTTCCTATGAGCAAAAAGCGAATAGATTCAATTGATGTAAGTGTTTAAAATAGTAATTTGTTACTTAGCTTAGTGATAAAAATAAGTTTTGCTTGATCACTAACCCAACATCCTCATATATTTTTTTCTTTTTTCAACCATTGATCATCTCATATAGAAAAATTAACAATTTTACACAAATTGTAATTATACATGGGGAATTATCAAACAGAATGTGAACTAATTAAAAGAGCACTGTATCACATACTATCTTCCTGTTTGATAATATTTACAAGTATTACATTGATCATTTTACAGACAGTGTTTTTGTACTACATTCCTGTAGGATCAGATATGGCTTGGCCTTCAGTTTTAATTCCATTTGGTTATATTCCTGCAGGTCTATTATTTTTGACAGCTGGTGCAACTTTAGCTGCTGGATTAACAAATTCAGAACTCTGGCAAGCAACCAGTGTTGTATGCTGTATACTTCCATTGATAACCACTATTGCTATAGCGTGCACTACATTACAACAATATGTGGATACTTTTCCAAAAAATTCAAGTATTTTGATTATGGGAGTGATTAGTTGTTTGACTTCACTTTTGTGCTTTATTCATGCTATTCTAATATGTGTCAGTCAATATTTTTTTCCTTTATCATAACCAATTATTAGACAATGAGAATTTCACATATTTAATGATTGACATTCGAATGTTTCGATATCAAATATATGATTGGGCATTTTCAAAGGCAATATTATATAGCCATTAGGTAGAAGTAAGATTTGTTACCGGGACGAAAAATGAAAAGGATCAGTTTTTATAAACAGTAGTTGTACGTAAACGTATGCTATTTATGTTGATAGTATCACGACTCGTATAGAAATTACATGGAAGTTTGTCAACACTACGTTGTATCAGTTTAAATTTCAGAAAAATCATAAATATTCATAAGTTCCTAAACGTATATTATTCATAAGTTTCCTTCCAAATGTTCTCAACCATATTGTTATTAAAAGAAATGCTTTGATTTGCTGAATCATATATCCTAATGATTATGTTGTATTTTCTCGACAGAAGTGGACAAGTACCTGGTATTCTGTTAATTCTATAACTTTACTGTATGTTTAGGATATAACGGATTTAAATTTATGAATCTTCATGTTTATTAACAGTTAGTTAATTCAAGGATACTTTTATAGATATTAAAAAAAATACACAGAATTTTCTGGTTATAGCGTTCGTAATATATAGCAGTTAACTTTTTAATAAAAGCGTAATCAGTTACTCAGTCAATTAAAACCATGATCAATATAATTGGTTGTTATACATGTTTACATTATCAAAGTAACTAAAAGCGATTGAAAAGTATCAATTAATACTGGACGCAAAGATTAGTTGTAAACATAATGAAAGTTAACAATTTTACCCAACACTCAATGATAAAAGCACATATATTCCTGATATTAATATTCAAAACAATTCAGATGATCAAGTAGAAATATCTATTCAACGAAAAAACACTGGGTGGGTTTCATTGAAGTCTTAATAGTTTCTGTCTAACAAACTAAAAAAAAAGACTGGTTAAAACACTATTCTATCGAATATGGAAACTATGTTTAGAGAGAATATTGAATAGGAACTAACTATAGTTCAAAAGTGTTTACTAGATAATGATTATCTACGAAATAAGGGAACGGGATTCTCTAGGGTCGAGAAAACTTCAGTCGTTTTACGACTTAACTTCAAAGGTAATGAAATAGTTAGAATGATTAATTATAGACTACTTGCTATATTGAAGAAAGTATGTCCAGTTGCCAAACTAGTTTCATCACAATAAACGAATTGTTTATTCAGACAAACAACAGTAGGAAAATTACCACCTTGTCACTTTAATTGTATTTACTAGTCTACATGTTTGTCCCAAAGAACAGAAAGAACGGTTCATATTCTCCTGTCGGAGCACATTGCTCGTTATCTGCTTCATAGCGGATACTATGTTGATATTTTAAAATCATTCGAGACAATCAGTACTTAAACAACATCGAATTTATCACTTTACTCCAAGGCTATCGTTATTAAACTTTGAAACCAAAACTATGTGTACATAAGAATACAGTAGTAAATCTCTTCCTATCCCGGTAACTTTTGTTTTTCAATATTCATTTATGTAATATCATATTCTCAATTACAAATTCCTTTCTTTCATTTATGGGTCTTTCCTGAGTTTTACTCGTCTTACTCTCTAAATCTATCCAATTTATGAACGTTACGTAATTTTTGTACTCTGGAAATGTGTCTCCACGTGTTTTAAAATTTTTCTTTTGGAACTTTCACATTTACCAACATATAAATATTGATTGATTTCTGTCATATCTGTTATTTTTATCCAACCAATCTTCATTAATGTTATAATTTATGTACATTGGTTATAAATGATTATTGCTATTGTGTTCATGTTGTAAGCAGCTAACGATAATCTGTGTAATAAATAAATTTATTTTATTCTACCACGCCTGTTGTTCTTGCTGTAGTCAAATTTCTCAATGGGAAAAACTGTATGAATTGTTAGAAATAAGTCATTACTGAATAAATATAAAATCATAAGAAAACTGACCAATTGAGATTCTCATGCTTAATTCGTTTACCATTTTTTTGTTAGTAGACGTAAAAATTTTTTTGCACAACTGAAAGGCGTGTACTTTTTATTCGATCAACTTATAGATATGTAGTGACTTCGCTTCGCTAATCGATCACCTCAATAAACATTATTATATAAATCTCAACGGCGCTTTAAATCATAAGGCAATGAGAAGCGGCAACTACAGTTTATTAGGTGATAACACAGATCACAAGGCTAAGAGCACATCGAAGAAATAAGACTAAGAAATGATTTAATGTTAGTTCTAAAGAATCAAATACAATATTCAGTCTATTAATTTCATTTACACCCTTGCTATACTATACGAATATGTCTTCAATATAACTTCTAACCAAACCCTCTCATGTAAGTCATTTAAACTCATTATCTAATTATGATTTATAAATATCACAGGTTGTAAGAAGCTGATGAGAACCTACGAAACAAAATGAATTCATGCTATTCTGCTGGAATCTTTGTTCTTGCTCTTTTCAAAACGAAAATGAGTTTTATTTAGGAAAAACGCTTATAAAAAAGCTAATTATCTTATATATCAATTTTATCCGTTTTCCTTGTCACTTATGAACACATTTCTATTCTGAATAAGAAAAGAAATCATAGTAGTTTTAAATGGTTGATCGTTTATTTGCTTACTTTTATTCATTTTAACATTCTTTATGTTATAAACGTATGATAGAAGATAGTATGAATTTCCTCCATAAACAATTTAATAGCTGAATAAGGTAACTGAAATTACATAGAATCAATTAAATTTCTTTCATATATTTAATTATTTTAATATACATATACAAAAGTCATAAATAAGATTTTAGATTGGTGTTGTTACTGTGTATTATGCATTAAATGAGCATGTGATGTGTGTTCGTTAGTGTATACATTAGATAGAAGAAAGAAAAAAAACGCAAAATAAACCCATCACATAATAATTTAGTCATTTAATTGTTACTGAATAAATCAAGTGCCAAATATTTCTGTTGTCAGTTTGAAAAAAAAATTGAATCAATAATTAAACTTAAGACTTAAATTTGTAATAATATTCAGTACGACTTCTTACGTCACAGTACTTATTAGGGATAACTTAATATATAACGAAATCATTAGAATATCTGTTTTCGGTATAAAATAGAGGTAAATACACTTAGCTTTAAACAGGTTGCAGGTTCTAACCCAACTCTCCTTGCTACTGATTATATAGTATTTTAGTGACCCGAGATCTGACTCCAGGTAAATCTTGTGACTATCGTTATCAACTTATGCACATCGACAATACGCGTATATAATTATCGACTTAACTTGCGTTAGTGAGTAACGGGATTAAATAAGTCATATACGAGAATGGATTTCGAATACGCATATTTCATACAATCATCGATAAAGACAAATGACCGGAGAAACGAAGCGAGATGACGCATAGTGGAGATGGTATGTACGCCAACTCAAGGTTGATAAGCGAATAAGTGACAGTGTAGAAATGTGGCTTGAGAAGGATGAATAGATTGGTCTGTTCAGAGGCTAGAATAACCTATATGGGCTTGATATATTACCAGCCCCTACAGTATATATAACCTTCAAATAAAATTAATTGCTTAAAACCAATTACATTAACCTACGTTTGATAAACGATTAGCATACATATTAACAACGTCTGATGCTATCGAGCGAATTATTATATTCGATTTGCATTTTAGAATACTGGATGTGTTATAAAAAGGAGAATCAAGCTTATAATGTTACCTTACTCCAAAATCATTAACACGTAACAGTTTATTTATGTATTAAAATGGTGTATTATTGAAAAACGTGCCACTATATTAGATATATAAGGACTGAGCAGTGCACATTTACGTAGGCGTGATGTTGTAAGCCAGCTTACTGATAGAAATGTAGGGCAATGATTGTCATCTATGTCACCTTCCGGTAAATGCTGAATTATGGAAACTGATCAAACTACTAGTAGCAATTTGGAAGTAAGAATAATATCCAATGGATGTGACTACCTCAGGACCTTTCATGAATATTTTGTCATAACAGATATATTTTAAGAACGAGTATAAAGTAAAGTGACATTGATTTTTAAAATTATATCTTTGGGATATAACAACAGCATAATAACAAAGTGACAGGTACAATATCGAAATTGTAGAAAAAAAAGCCTTATGAATCAACAAAAATGATATTTCATTCATCGGTATTCGACATCTGCTATTGGTGGAATCTAATCCGTGTATCTCAATACAGCTGAGACACATTTGTGTACGAAAAACTCTTGAGTTGGTGCTCAGTTTAAAAACCTCAATGTTCAGTTTAAAACCCAGACATTACGTAGGGATCCATTCAAGGGGCTTACATACCGAAAGAGTGATTCAGTCTCAACTACCAACAATCAATATAGTTTATAATACTGACCAAAAAAGAAGTAGTATAGTGAACGAGAACACAACCGGGGACAACCAAATGTATTTTAATATAACGTTACGGAATATCTTGTTAAACTCTGAGAAGCATACATTAAATAGTTCATTTGAAAATATCCATTAATTTCCCCAGGTTTTGTTGCTCCTTCGTTTCTATACCAACCACTCTCTGTTCTCGTTGCTTTTTCTTCGATTTTCTCAACCTTCTGCCGCCAGGCATTCCACATTCGACTGGTGATGCGTACTACTTACATCTGTTGACATCAGTAGCACACACCACAGTAGTTATAGTGGCTTAGTAGCCTCGTGGATGACACTCGAACACTTAAAGCAGTGAAAACAGGGTTTACGGCGCAATAAAAACATCATAACTGGTATACAATTACAACTATATAAAAATTTACTTATGTGCTAGTGAAGATAATGTATAGAAAGTTTAAGAAGACTGATTTTTTTCCCATAACTTTGATACGATTGTCGGAAATCGTTCCCCATTATTCATAGACTGTTATCCGACAAGGAGAATATTGAAAGATCTATGATCACTAATCTTTGTAAATATATGGTCAATCACTCATTCAAAAACTCACTGACTATATCAGAAATATGACAATACGAATTAAACATCAACTAACACATACTTTCTCCAGTCTAAAAGTATATATTTCAATCAGTAAATGAATAAAAAAGCGCCAGCGACGCATTTTGGGGAATACACTGAGTAACGTAAGTCGGATATGTTTCCACCCAAAACTTATGTGTGGATGGATATAAAGAAGTACATATCAACATTGGAAATAATTAGTTAATAAGAAAATTTTCTTTACACAGCCAAAGCGACTGATATTTCATTTATTTGCTACAATTTTATTCTATTCCACTCTTTATCCTTAAGAAATTGTTGTTCACTTCAGATCAAGCTAACACAAAGAAATATTGGACTTCATATAGTCTTTCATTTGAATATCTTTCACTTCGAATCTCCTTAGAGCTGTGGTCACTTCACTACATTTCTAACGCGATACCGTTAGTTCTATTTTAAAGTATAAATTTTCCAGATGAAAGATATATATTTATTTGAAACAACATGAATCGAGTTTGAATTTCCCTGTGGGTATCAACACTAGTATGTAGATAGACCCAAACGATAAGTCTTAAATAAGGAAAAAACGCATGTTCTGCTTTCCACTGGTAGACATAATCCAAAAAATACTATAGTTCAAGTTTAAAAAAATCCTATTATATTACAATACAGGTACATAAACCAAGAATACTCTCATCAATATGTTCTCACCCAATTTTAAGGTAATAAGTTCAAATAATTTAATAACAGATGTATAAAAGAAAAACTCGTAAAGGTTAATCCTTCATATTTTGTGCAATATTACATGTGAATATAAAAAGACCATAAATAATCGAAGGATTCCCTAAAGGAAGTCATTAAACAAGGTATTTATAGATATTTACAGAAATAACTCACGCTTATAAATGCACCAAGAGGAAGATGAAGGGAAATATAATCACAAAAATAATGTATATTTCTCTCCAAAAAGAGTGATTTGATCAAATTCTTAAAACCAAGATCATTTCACACGTAGAGTGTACGGACCAAATCATATCAGTTTAAAGAAATCAAACAATTACTACTACTTTGAAAAATAATTTTTACTACGTACTTTTATATACTGATATTTGATTAGTACTTTATAAGATGGATATGAATAAAAGTTAGACTATTATACTACGTAATTTGTTTGTTATAGATTAAAAAGATGTGTCAGACATCATTTGAATCCACACAATTAGCACCATCCAATAAAACAGACCCATCTTCTAAGGTTACTTTAGGTATGGGGACTTCTATTGTTGGGAGCGAGTCATGAACTTTTACATTTATACATAAGCGAAAATCAGCACATAATAAAATACCGTGGATAAAACATAAAAAAGCTATTATACTGTTAATAATGCCCATAATTAACATGCTTGACTTAGGTAGAGATCCATCCACGTACTGTTGTATAGTTGTGCATGCGATTGCAGTTGTTACTATTAGTGGAAAGATGCAACTAACAACACTGGCTGTATCCCATTCATCTGAGTCTACTAAACCAGCAGTCAAGGTTGCACCAGCAGTTAAAATTAATAAAAACGCAGCAATATAAGCGAACGGGATTAGAACTGAAGGCCAAGCGAGATCTGATTCCACAGAAACACAATATGAAAATACTGTTTGAATAATAATCAAAATGAGGCTCGCACACGTTAACACACAAAAAGCTACTATATGATACATTGCAGCACTGATTACTTCATATTTCTTTTGAGTGAGCTCCATACTTGGTGAAAATATCTGCAGAATCCACAATATTTTCTCCCAAAAGAATCGGTGATTCAAAGGTATGTGAAACGAATATATTGTTATGAAGAATTAACTGCCAAATACTGTCACTATTCAAATGGGCGATATAAAATTCCAATATTTTACATTTATTTACGATTTTAAAACAATTTGTAATGTATCAGTGAGGTGTCGTTTTAAAAAATCTTTGACAGCCATCAAAAAGTATGTGTAGTCTTATCGCATCATCTAGTCTATGCCTATATGACATTTAATGAGAACTGGGTCCTGATTGGTTGCAAAAGCAATTTTGTTTCACTTCAAATATCTCCATACAAATCAAACACCTAATTGTAAGCTTGTTATACTAATGTTTAAACACTTACGTTTTCAATTTAGTGAAGGGACGTTTCTCAAATTTACTTAGGTACATATTTGTTGATGTGTAGTCTTTATTACACAGTAGGGCTAAAAATACAACGAGGCAGAAAAGATGTAATGATTGTGTGTAGGTGTAGAAGCAAGAAATTGATTCCTCTCTGTAGTGTTTTTAGTTTCTTATTTGGCCATGTGACTTTTTTCTTTAAGAATAATGAGTCAGGAGTTATGATTGACAAATGGAAGCTTAATATCAAAAACGGTAATTGGGCTTTAGAATGCTGTCACTGTCTCTAATAAATACTATTGCGTAATCGAGATTCATAGTGTATTCAAAACTTGGAAAGAAGTAACGATTGGTACCAGATATATGTAATTTGTTTTAGTTGAAACAGTATGTTTGTTGATAATTAACTGAAGTTGAAGACATCAACCATTAAACTCCAATTTAATAGTGTAAAATTATTTGCTCTCCATAAGACATGAAAGTCCTAGGCTTGATCATTGAGTTGTAGTTGTGCACTGATGAAGAGCGTCAAACTAGAGCAAGATGTTGTCCAATGATTACTGATTTTTAAGTTCTATATCTGATAACAACCGTCAATGGAAAAGAAATTTTCGATTTATTGGTGTTTTAATTGTTCTTGATAACTAAGTTATGTAATAGACTTCATTGGCAGTCAGTATAGTGGAACAGTAAAATTCCCGTGTAGCTTACAGGTTATATTGTATGGTAGACCTTTACTCATACATCATTTCAGCAGTACATCTCCGGATAGCCGATATCATAAGCAAAGACTTAATTGATTTGAGTACGATTGACATATGTTGATGACTTCTTTTTCCAGTTATCTATAGCATGTTATTCCATTTTAAGGAATAATCATATCAGTTATATCTGTTGGTTGTAAGCGCTTGATTATATGCTAATGTATATTTGTTTATTCCGTAAATTAATGATCAATCAATTTCAGTTCTTACTTAGTTTAGTGCATACAGATCTGATTATTAATTAGTGTTAATCATTTTTAAAATTTTGGGTGTTAAATAAATTCTCACGCATACTTGATTAAGCTTGCATTGTCTGACTCACAGCTCTCTGATCTGAGCCATGTTAGTAGATACAGACTACTTGGTTGGGGTCCGCGTGATTATCGTAACCAATGGTTGGAGACTCTTGGTGACATGGCTCAGAATCGATCACAACGGCGTAGGTATATACACTCTGTCTTCCCTTAAACTAAGAGATTAAAACCGCCTCATATCTTGCTTTCTACGTACTAAATCTTTCTTCCTATACTATATCCTTATATGCAATCTTTCTTTTATATATTACCACCATTGACTTAACTACTCCTATGAATCCGGTGTTCATCTTGCTATGCCAATACGGTATGGCAACTTGGACCGATGCATATATGTTCCTGGTCCTACGTTGCAGCTGACTGACTATCAGCTTTCCAGGATAAGTATCAAGATATACCTGCAGATATAAAAGTGACAAAGTATAAGTGTTACATTTTAGATTTATGAATTAGGATAATGCAGAAAAGTAGTCACCATAAAGAGGAATTAAAGATAAACTTCATTTTTACCAGCTATGGTATTACTTACTTCCTTATCTGAGAACCATATAGTACATAGTTAATCTGCAAAATATCAATCCATCGTCTCAAACTTGACTGTTCCTTTTGCAAATATCAGTCCATTGTCTTTGATTTCATTGTTCATGCATTTTCATACCAATTGCGTTTCGTTCCCGTCCTTTCCTTATCGATCTTCTACTGAAATACATTCTATGCCTGACCACCGTTATATAGTACTTATGTGAATATAATTAACCCGCACCACAATGTCTGTTTTCGATTTCCGACGTAGTGTGTTTTTCGGCCTTCCTCTTTTCCGTTTCATTTTAGGATTCCAAATGAGGGCTTGCCTTATGATGCAGTTTGGTGATTTCCTTAATGTGTGTCTTGTCCACTTCCAACGTCTTTTCCTGATTTCCTCGTCAGCTAGAAGCTGGTTTGTCCTATCCCACGGTAGGCTGTTGCTGATAGTATCCAACCAACGGATATTCAGTATCTTGCGTAGACAACTGTTTATGAATACCTTTACTTTTTTATGATGGTTGTAGTGGTTCTCCAAGTGTCAGCTCTGTACAGTAGAACGGTCTTGACGTTCGTATTGAAGATTGTAACTCTGATGTTGGATGATAGTTGTTTTGAGTTCTATACATTCTTCAATTGTAGGCATGCTACCCTTGCTTTGCTAATCTTTGCATTTACATATGCATCAGATCCTCCATGTCCGTCGATGATGCTGCTGAGATATGTGAATTTTTCTACGTGTTCCAAAATCTCCATGAAGTGTGATTGAGTTGGTGTTCTGCGTGTTGTATTTGAGAATGTTGCCTTTTCCTTTGTGTATATTGAGGCCTACTGATGCAGGGACTGCTGCTACACTAGTTGTCTTAATCTGCATTTGTTCGTGTGTATAGGATAGGAGGACTAGGTCATCTGCGAAGTCCAAATCATCTAATTGATTCCGAGTGGTCCATTGTACTCCGTGCTTCCCCTCAGACTCGTGACTTCCGGAGAATCTCGTCTTTCATCATGAGGCGTCATAATTCCTCCTTCAGCACGGAGTTAAAATGGATTAATTTGTTTATTCTGGTTAACGTTTTTAGCAAGGTTGATTTCTACGGGATGGGGTTGTCGACCTCATGCCCAACCCTCCTCCTTTATCCGGTCTTGAGACTGGCAGTAGCCCTAGAATAGCTACAGGCAGAATTAGCTAATGGTATACTTGATAAGAATTCCCCACAAATTCAAATCTCGTTCCAAGTGTCTCAGCAATCTTGACTGCTAATCATGTGTTCTGCCATAAGCTTGTTGCAGCATTCACGAAACGTATCAAGGTTTCTCATGTTCCAATTTTACTCTAGATTGTTTCATATGTTCTACTAAGTGATTGTGTTGTTTTAGCCTAAAATTATACGGTGACCATAACAAATACAAAAGAAGTATAAAAAAGATCTATAGTTGAGACACTATAAAAGCAAATCTTTTATTTTTGTGACTATAGCTTATGACCATGAGCTAATAAAGATTTGACTATCTCCCAATATACTAAAATATTAATATGTAGTACGATACTTCGTCTGCACCACAAGTAACTTTATCTGTCAAAAATCCAGGTCTATACTCTATGTGCCAACATTTCGTCGTTTTCCAATCTAAAAGTTAGATCATATAAGATAATTTACATGTAAGCAATCAGAATCCGAAAGCCAGACAGAGATCCTAAATTCATAGAGGCAGCATAATGAAGCTTATTACGAGTTGTTTAGCAATCGTTTGTGCGTAAGCGTTCAGTAATAGTACGTACTAGACGTAAATTTATTGTAGAGACAAACTGTTATGAAGTCTATAAACAGATGGTTATAAATGTCCTCTGCGTTCAGAAACGATGTTGTCTAAGATGTAAATAATCTAAATACTATTCTAATCGTGAATACGAAATAATGTGGTGAGTCTAAGAGAGACCTGGTACAAACAGACTTGATAATTTGTTCAAATATTGACATATTTCCAGGCTTATAAAAATCCTAATTTTAATCCGTATTCCTCATACTTTTCCTCTCCTCTGATGATTTCTTTTCACCAATAACAAACTTTTGAAAGTCAGGATTCTGGCTACTAATCAAATGATCTACCACCTTTCGCTAACGATATTTTTTTGTCCATTTAGTGAATTTCCTATCACGCTTTCAGAGAGCATCTGGACTGGTTACTTGTCAAAACTATTTAGTGTTCAGTAATTGATTTATGTTCCCCAAAAAGATTGAGTTTAGTTCATTATAACAACTCATTCCTTTCGTCTAAAATGCTGTTTCTACCAGTATGAATCAAATAAGAAGTTATTCTAATCTGCTTTACTATACCAACAATCACCTCAAAAAACTAGACAGTATTGCTTTAAATCAGTTACTTGGAGAAAAAACCCACCTGAAACAAGTGCGAAATCCCATCTAAGTACGTTACACAACAAAAGGATAGCAAAAAACGGGTAGAACTACGGTGATATTAGTAATGAAGATCTAAAATACGAAGACGGAAATTATGAGAACGAAAGACGGAGAAAACTGTTCACGACCAAATATATGGAGGTATATTTGACAATGATGAAGCCCTCTATTTCAGTTATTCAGCGTATCCAATTCAGAAAATATGTACACATTCAAACTGTTTCTCAGTGTTACCTTTATCCAACTTCTTTAAAGAATCTTTAACATGACCTCTCGAACCAGCTTATTATATTGATCATGAGCAATACACCTAACTGCTTTACTTCGAAAGTTTTCTTTGTATTACGAGCTGCCATTTGTACTGTCGTCACCATTTGAGCAAAGTTATCCTACCAATCCTTTTCCCAGTCAAGTAACTATGCATAATGTGGACAGAAGTTCTGAATCTATCACGACGTGTGTTCTAGGAGTAAACTAAGGAGACCAGCAGACGAAGCCACTGATTGTTAGAATAAGCCATGTACGTCGGTGCAAACTACATAGCTGGGGTTTGAACAATTATTGTAACCATTTGTTGAAGACGTTGAGTGATAAGGCTAGAAGTCGATCTCAATGGAACAGGTGAATTTACCCCTTACTAACCCTCAGATTGTGCTTTGAATTTTTACATACTTTCTATTCTACAGATCCATTTTTTCCTCTCAGATCATATAGTGTATACATAATTTTTGCTATGGTTGTTTATAGTGTTACTATTTTTGCTACTTTGGCAAGTCTTGATATTTTTATATATCTATCAACTTGGGGCCATGTATACATGTTGGATATGATTTACTGATTCATGTGCACATATCCAGTAGAACTGAAGTACATTCTGCTCCTTATAAATTCCTTTTGTCATCCACGAAAAGTGTTTCTGTTATCAACCTTTCCAGCTGGCTTCGCCTTTTATATTTGAGGTCACGAGATTTCAGCTTTCGGTAAGACAACTGAACAAGACTATGTACTAAGGTTTAAATCTTCGGACCTACATCAAGGGATCTAACGGCCCCACTAATTTAAACACGAATCTTTCGTAGCTAACGGAGGTATAGTAGAGTTTGAAGGCAGAAAATAGAATTCATAAACCGTAGCTCAACAGCTTAATCCCTCGATCACCGAACGTTGCTGGAATAGTGAGTGGAGCTTCTGTTTATGGACACACATTGAATGAAATAAAAGACGGATTACGGATACTTATATGAAATCCCTTTAAAAGTGATTGGGTTAAACGGTACTTACTAGTGTCGTCTATGTTAGCTATTTTGATATGACTTTATAACAGACATATGCATAGAGGGGGAAAGGATTACGTGCCACTTTTTATAAGCAAGCTTTTTACATGACATTTTCCTTAATCTACAGTATGGTTATGGCAATTTCGCCAGATAAAAGTAGTGACAGCAACCTTCTTCTGCACAGTGTTAGGACGATCATGATGTAGAACTCATATTTCAAACCCAAAATATTGTTTAGATAGTAGTCATTTTCGTAACCAAATTTGGCTATGAGAGAAGTAATAGATGAGCCCATCGATCGTTTATATTGTAAGCTTTGTTACTTCAGACAGATGTGTGTCCCCTTATATAGATTGCACACCTTTATTATGATAAGTATAGAGAAATATTACAAAGTAGTTCTATCCTTCAGATTCCGTACAACGGTAACAAAGAACTTATTAAAATGATATATTGGTTAACCAACATATAGTGAGAAAGATCTTATTCCTGGTCAATTATAATATGTGATAAACTTATCGCATTCAGGATACTGACATAAAAACTTCGTTCGAACATAATTCATTTAGATGTGAAGTTAGGATTAGTTGTTCTCTTTCTAAAACATGTACTTTACCGAATATTTCTTAATAATAGAGTAGGTCAGTCATATTCAACATGCACCCGGCACAAATGGACAACAGGTCAAGTTGTCACAGTATATTAGGACAGAGAGATAAAATTGACGAGATGAGTACCAAACTAGTGGAAGCAGTTGTTGTTGCAGGAATAGTGACAAATATTGGGTAAAAAGAATATCAATAGGAAGGGAAGAGTCGGCCGAGCAAGTAATAAAGCGAGGATTTTACGCCAAAAGGTAGTATAGATTGAAAACATTATAATAAATAACCAAATAAATCGGAAGAGAAATAAAGTAGAGACCTTAAACATTTAGACGAACCAAAAGAGTCAAATGAATATGTAAAAAACGCATTACAAAACTGTAAAATTACTGATAAACAGAACTTGTTTTATGGTATTGCAAGTTGTTTGAAATGAAGAAATGTAGGTAACAACGACTTTTGTTTTGATGCCAGGAATATATGAAGTGGAAACAAAAAATGGATAACTATGTCATGTTTTTAAGATCTAGCATTATCTGTTGTTTATCCATAATTTGGAGTGCTGCTCTGCGATTAGATTCGTAGTTATCAAGATTGTCTTCAGAAATCCAAGACATATCAGAGAGAAGTTTATAAGCTCCAATATATTTGTGTGGACAGCCATCCCACTCCTAGAAATCAATTGGTTAGTAAATATACAGGCTTACTTACCGTGGGTGAAAGTAGACTGAAATACTGGTTAGCGTCTGGCTTCTCATACACGTAATAAACATTTCCTGGTTTTTTTACGAAATTACAGGGAAGTTTATGCAACAAAGTATCTCTATGAGCGTTTTGTATGATAGCCTTTGCCTGAGACTAAAGAAACACAAAATCAGATAACTGCTGGGTTATAACTTACCTTCAAGTGTTGCATCTGTTCAACAATTAATCGAAGTTGAGAACAAGCATTTGCACTAACAAAATTATTGGCACTTTCAACGTAGTGTGCCAATTCAACTAAATTATTAGGGTCTATTAATTTTCTGGCGTCATCTCTGATGCATAACGACGACGGCGAATTATCGGTGTGATTCATTTTGAATAGTTCATTAAATGATGCAATCAAATGATTATCAGTGCACTGAAACAACCACGTTCCATGTATCTAGACATCTGTATTCACAAAAATCATTAGGGATATTTTAACACTTTGAAGTAGTCTAGGATAGAAAAAACAGTAAAAAAAGACAGTCAAATCGAAACTTATTGCTCTATTTTTAAACGGTGGAGAGAGCATAGTACATGTTCGCAAGATATTTCTATTCTTTCATATTGCACAGGTATAGAACTTTACCATTGAAACAGTGGCAAAAATTTACGGAAAATTAACCAGTGAAACTTTGAAACACAGTGCGAAAGTAGAGTGATAAATGGTTTCAGGCGTAAAACAAAACATATGAGTTTAAATTTAGTGGTAGCCATACAAAAGTGGACTACCAAAAACGTCATCCTCTTAAAGATGTTACGGATATTCCGTGTTCGACTGTCTATAACATTGTCTTAGTTGAGGATCTCAAACCCAGCCGAACCAGAAGTCAGGGATGAAGGAGTTCGAGACCTGAGGACTATCAACCTGTTAGCCTAACAAGCGAGGTTGTTAAAATTTTAGGAAAGATTATTCGGAAGGAGCTGTTTAAGTATCTCGAAGAAAACCGGATTCTTTCTGAAAATCATCATGGCTTTAGAACACGTTATTCATGTCTCACTAACTTATTAATAGCTCGTGAAAGTTGGTGCGCCTTTAAAGGCCAAAAATTAACAATGGAAGTGGCCTACATTCACTTTAACAAAGCATTTGGCGAAGTTCCTCACAACCAACTGTTATATAAGTTAAGTAATAACTAAGTTGGAGGCAATTTCTTAATGTGTTCAAAATAATTCCTAGTTGAGCTCCAATAAAGAGTACAGGTGCCCCCAAATGCCCTGGTACGGCAGAGAGTGGGGAGAGTCCGCTCTCCCTCTCGAAATGCTCTCACATGGCCATGCGTATATAGCCCCTGCCAGGGAAGTCCTACTCACTGCCTTCTCGTGGCGGGGGTGTTGTTTACAAAAATGAGAGGACGAAAAGCGACTGTCTGGCGCTTTAACCGGACCCCAAACCAATGGTGCACATGGGCTCCAGTATCCTGCGGGAACAAATGGCGTATGAACCAATCGTTGGTCACCGGCTACCATGGGACTGCATCTCCTCACGATGCTCCACTGCCTTGTGGGTCAGACGTTCAGGTCAAAGGCTCGGGGTTTGGCCCCCTAAGACAACCACCTGCTTCGGTTTGGGCACCCGGGCAGTATCACAGCCCTCACACAAATCAATTGAGATTTGTGTGGCGCATATGTATTTTGGTGCCTCCCTGTACCTATACTTATGTGTTAAAATAAATAAAATAAATAAAACAGGTGAACTCCGAGTTATCTATCTGGGAAACTGTGCTTAGCTGGGTACCTCAGGATACAGATTTGAGGCGTTTTATTCCTCTTATATGTAAATGACCTTCCTCGTCTCCTATCATCACCAGTCTTGCTATATGTTGATGACGTCAAAATATGGAGAGAGATAAGAAGGGTGATAGCCTAGAACTTTAAAATGGCCCTGATATATTATCTGGATGGTCTCAAACTTGGCAGTTTCCGATAAGCGTTCCCAAGTGCATCGTGATGCACATTGGTCATAAAGGTACAGACACATACACAGTGAATAACAGTGAGCTACCAGTTGTCCAGACATACAATTACTTTGGAGTCATTGTTAGCCAAGACTTAAAAACCATAGTACAATGTCGAGGGATAACCTATGACCTGAAGAAGTCTTCGATTACTCACCATTACGGCTATTTCTCAACATTGTTGTTGAACAGTCTACATAAGTAAAGTAATTAATTCTCCGTAAAGTATTATACTACAGGATTTACGCATTTTTTCAGTTTCAGTTTGGAAAGGACAGGAGGCTTGATGGCCTGTGTTATTCCTGGCAATTGTGTTCTCTCAGTTGATCCAACTTTCTTTTGAAAGAATCTACGGATGGAGCTTCAACCACGTGTTGAGGTAATGAATTCCACTCGTTGATGATTCGGTGGGAAAGTCGATAATCAGCTGACAAGTAATTCGTTCTGGGCTTGTGAACTTTTTTGGAGTGTCCTCGTAAATTCTCTGTTTTGGAAGACAGGAAGAATGAGGGCATATCAGGTGCAAATTTATCACTAAGCAATTTGAAAACTGTAATCAAGTCGCCTCTAGTTCTGCGATATGACAAAGGGAATAGGTTTAGCTTGGCCAGTCGAGCATCATACGGAAGCTTCGCTATTACGGGAATCAGCTTAGTTGCTGTTCTCTGGACCTTTTCTAAAAGCTTACTGTCTTTTTTTAAGCAGGGGCTAGCCGCTTGTATGCAGTACTCAAGTTTGGGACGCACGAACACTGTATACAAAGTCAAAAATATTTTAGCGTCGACATGAATAAAAGCCCTATGTATTGACCATAAAGTTCTAAAAGCTTTGGCGGCTGTTGCACGGCAGTGTGCAGTAGTCTTCAGATCTTGGCTAACGATGACTCCTAAGTCATTATGTGTCTGGACAGCATGTTCATGTCTGTGTTTGTTTGAGACGCACTGTATAGTCACAAAAAAAGGATATTTTGGACGAGACGCATAAGGTAACATTACAGCGATAAAACGAAATGGTAAGTCTTATGACCATTGGGGAATACATACAAAAACAGTGCACTACAAATGACAAACCTTTGTACGCTACTTTAAACCATATATCCTTTTTCGTTTCTACGACCTTGAGCGGGTTGCTTTCGTTCTTATTCCAATATGTAATATCTTAAACATGAGCTTGTATAAACCGAATGATACATTCGCACTCGCTTTTGTTATTGAGGTAGGGTTTCAGGTAGTTGATGATGTCATATGGGTGGCGACCTAGCCATTGAACTTTACCAACTCTATTTAGTTCAAATGGTTCAAATGATTGTGGACGGAATAGAAGAAGCTTTCGCTTAACAGGCTTCCGTATCTAGTAGCAGGGGATCACCGATACCTCCATTCATGAACCTAGATATATCAACGATAAAAGAGGAAAAATAAAAAAACGTGGGAAATTATAGTACAATGATATGTCATTGTACTAAGAATATATCCTTAGCCCTTAAGACTATATCAAGTTTTCTCTCAAAAGGCTCCTGGGAACTCGATTGAACTAGCGCAGCCGGTAGCAAATTGAAGAGTTTGACTACTCTTGAGGAGCATAAGGTCCGTCTACAGTCCGTTCTGCTGTGTTGTGTCTCCAGTTTCTGGGCGTTACCCCCAAGCTTTGAGTTAGGAATAAGTTTAAGTAGATGTTCAAGAGGATGTCCAGAAGTATTTAGGATGGTTTATGCAATTAGGTCGCCTCCAAGACGCTGTCTTCTAATGCACAAAGTTTCGGTGATTGGAGGCACTCTTAATTAGGCTTTAGTTTGAGTCGCTGAACTGAGTTCGTGGCTCGTCGTTGGATACTTTCCAGTGTCCATATCCTTTTGGATTAAGAGAGGAAACACTATGCTTCATTACTCTAAATATGACAAATAAAACAGTGGAAGATCATGTGGAAAGCTCTTCCGAGGATCTGGCCGAAATGTGCTTCAATGTTACCAGTGCAATGTTTTGAATATGCCACAGGTATTCGGAGATTGACAACGCTTTAACCAGTAACACCTTCTAATATGGATCGTACCCACCAAGTGAAATCAAAGGTAAGAAGCGAGGAGGCTCGAAGGTATATTTGATAGGCTATCAATATATCGAGGATCGTCTGATCTAATCTGACAATTGAATGCAGTAGATGTTGAGCACGGCGTTCACACACGTGATCTGGTGCGGATGCTTGACCGAGCGCCTTCAGCTAGATGAGTACATTAAAATTAATGTGGTCAGCATCTAATGTCGAAAACTTACAGAGCTATTTATTTTGTGGATTTATTTACCGCTATAGATCACTCCCCCCTGGTGGGGTAGTGATGACCCTAAGACGTGGCCAGCCAGAAGTTTAAACCCAATGAGTTTGTTGTTGGTAAACACTCTTCTGATAGCTTTGAGTCGTCGATGAATACGTTCTACCATACTTTTTGCTTGTGGGTGGTAGGCCGTCGTTCAGAAGCGAGTGATTCCTGATATTGCGGTCAGACAACGGAAAAGTTCAGATTCAAACTGACGTCCACGATCTGTAGTAATGGTTGTTGGGCAGCCGAAGTTTGCTACCCACCTCTCGACGAAGGCGCGGGCCACTGTTTCAGCAGTAATATCTCTGATGTGTACTGCTTCTGGCCATCGAGTAAAACGGTCTACGAATGTTAAAACATAAGAATATCCATTTGAATCTGGTAAAGGTCCTACCAAATCCAAATGAACATGATCGAAGCGAGCATCGGGAGTTTTAAACGAGCCTAAGGGACATTTGTTATGTCTAATAACCATAGATTTCTGGCAGCTTACACAGGAGCGTGCCTACTCCCTCACGTCTTTATTCATACCGGGCCAGAAAAACCGTTCTGTTATAAGCTTGATGGTTGCACGAACACCAGGATGAGAAAGTTTGTGCGACGTATTGAAGACGTTGTGTCGATAATGTTTCGGCACGAGTGGACGATCCCTACCTGTAGATGTGTCACAAAGTAAGGTTTCCTTACCTGCTCCCATTTGTTTAATTAGCAGTTTAAGGGCTGCTGAGGACAATTCGTGCTGAAGATCACTGTCTTCTTTTTGAGGCCGGGCGAGTTTTAGAAGGTCGATGCCTTGGAAACTGTTCAAAGAAGTTATTCGAGACAAGGCGTCTGCGACCACCTTTTTTGCTCCAGAAATGTGTTGAATATCTGAAGTGAACTGCGAAATGTAGTCCAGTTGTCGAGACTCACGTGGTGAGTACCTGTCTGAAGAGGAGCTTAAAGAGAAAGTAAGAGGTTTATGTTTAGTAAAAAGAGCAAATTCATGCCTTCGATAGAGTGTTGAAAATGCCGTACAGCACAATACATAACTAGGAGTTTCCTACCGAATGTGCTGTACCTCGATTAAGTGTCTAGGAACTGTCTTGATAAAAATGCCATAGGTTGGCAGAAGTGGTCAATCCATTGTTGTACGACTCCTCCGCTTGCTGAGTCTATTAAAACTAATTAGGTCAGCATCCAATGTCCAAAACCTACAGAGCTATTTATTTTGAGGATTTATTTACCGCTACAGTTTGCTTGGAAGACATTTTGGTTGCAGTTGCCGTAAGACTTCAAATAATAGGTTAAAAGAGCCCAATCAACTTTTTAACATTGGGATACGTCTAGAGGAGCGTTTCCTAAGTTGCTGATTGTTACGATACGATCAGTCAGTGTAGACGATTATGTGGCTTCCACGTAAGATCTTATAGAATGAGCAGTTACATCACGACAAATCTACAATCTTAGGATTAGGTCTATCATTAGAGCAGTACTTATAACAAAGTGAACTATAAATCCTACAGTATCTCAGAATCAGACCTGATTTTATTATCTTCATGATTAGAACAATTTAGGGACCTTGATGTTAGTGATTTTTAACTAGCTTTATCTGCTTTTCGCTGACACGGTTATCTATCTGGCATAATCTTAATATCCCCGAAGTTCTGTATTTGTCTGACCGTATTCGAGAAAGTCAAAAACTCACATGCGCTTACAGATGCGTCGAGTTTTGACAATATCTGTGACTTCTTTTTATTTTTATGCTCAGGCATTGTACGTTTGAAATATTGCTAGCTTTAGGCAGACTAGACGTGATATTTTTAGAGCATATGTTTTCCGTATATAAAGCTCGACTGCATTGCTGATTCGTGTTATCCCTTGAAACTCCTTAGAAGCAAAAAGATTCAGGAAATAATTTTTATCATTCCTATTATCAGGAATCTCTGTGAGACCGGGCTGTTGAGATACTGAAATATATTAAGAAGGTTAATGCATATTTGCAACTTTCTTACGTCATCCGTATGGTTGCAGTGGCTGTTTTTATTATCGTTCACCAAGAGACTATTCAAAATTTCTGGAATGCCAAGAATTTACCGATATTATGGAAAGGAAAGTTAATTTTCGATTGAATTATTCATTATGAGTTTTATTCATCATTACATCTGTTTTCATTTAACGTGATGATCATTCAGTGTAGTATTTGATTTGTTTTCCCAGTATTATATTTTTTTCTTTATAGTATACGATATTCTTGTATTCAATTGAGGTGAACTATGCTCAGTATTTTTCATATATATGATTTCATCATAATTAATAATCACAATCAATATATAAATGAGTGTATTTTCTACTAGAATTATTATTATTACCGTCGTCGTCATACTGTTTTGTGGCTAATAAATCTTCACTTATACCAGTCTTTGTGTCCTTACTTTCGAGGCGTGGGAATTGCAGAGGTCCCTCGTTCCGAGTATAATTGATCAGCGTATCCCGGCACAATAATCAGCGACGAACAGATATAACATTTGCGACGACCAAATACAACACTCATCTAAGCTTTTCTGCTTCTAGATGAATCAAATAGCACTAACCGTTAAAACTGCTAGATATACTGTTGGTAGTAGTGTTAGATAGTGTCGACTGGAAGCCTGAGGGCAAAGGCTTCCACATCTATCTGAGGATTGACAAGTAAGTTATTTGAAACAGATAGATAAAGGAAAACGTGTCTAAATAGAAAGAGGAGTAAAAAATCAGGTAGAGGGTTCAATGTAGTTCGGAAATCAAGACCTGTGTTTGAATAAGGTGTGGGGTTATCTTGAGTGTTTATAAAGATGAAAAATGCAAGAAAAAAATTGCAGGAGTATAGCAGTAGAGATATAATGTCATCATTTATGTAATGACTTTACTTGTGTATTATTGAACCTCTAAATACATGTTGAACAGCAGCAAAAGAATACATCTGAGTGTCGATCATGAAAAAATTGCACGTTTCAGATATTTTGCTTTAGAAATTTTAAGAAAAAGTACACCTTATATTTCAAAACAACGTAGAACTGTCTATTTTAAGATCAAACGATCGAAATAGGTAGTGTATGTGATATATATATATAATAAAGGTTTAAATCAGTCGAAATTGAATAGTGTAGCTTTTGCTGTTTTACCGGAAAACGCTACCACATAGATTTAATGTGATAATTCGTAATCAAAATATGTTAAACAGTTTTTTAGCGGAAGTACTGTCAAAAACCATAACAGACTGACAGAATTAAGCTGGTAGCTTCAGGAAACTAGTTAAAATCGCCCGGAGCCAGTTTATATTCAACATGCAACACTTGGAGGTCGGTCGCGTTGAACGTGGGATCATTCACTCATTCAATCCCATGGCATGGCTCAGCTTTCCACGCGTGGATATTTCTGTGTAGCCTACCCCTTCCCACATTAAAAACATTTTATCCGAAGCCAAAATGTGTTCTTTAGAAGTGCTAAACATCATATTACTGTACATATTGACATGATGAGCCAGAATAGAGAAATATGACTTCCACATAAGTTCTTAAAGATCAGATATTCACATCATAACAGATCTACATTTTAGGATTAGGTCTGTTGCTGTTGTAATAACGAATTAGACCATAATTCATCATAGTAAAAGCAGTTAATTAGTTGCTCAACCTATGAGCACTATAAGTATTTTATACTTAGAAATGGAAAATCAAACTGAAGCGTAGAAATTTCGATAGTGCTATTAACTTTGTTGAAATTAGAATGTCACCTGAATAAGACATTAAGCTATTTGT